GCCCAAACAATGAACTGTTTATTAGGAATGTATTATAATAAATAGCTGTAGGTGTATAACACAGAAATAGTTTGACTAGAATTATATGACAGTCTCACAGCTCCTATGGAGAAGGACTTATGTAAACTTAAAAGCAATTCTCAATAGTACACGGTCAAAATATTCAAACCACACATGAAGAAGTAAAATTAAAATGTGTCATGATATCTTTTTTCAATACTGTATCATTAGAATTTTTAAATCTGTAAAGTACATGACAACTACTGTGTCGTAACTACGTTAATCCAAATCTTAGTTCTTTTAATTGATCCTTAGATTGTCCAAAAGATCACGTTTGTCACTTGCTGAACCCTTCTCCCTGTTTACATCCATACAAAGGGCTGCTGTTGGGACATGTATAAATACTGACAGGGAGTCAGAGGTATAGATGAGCCAGGGCCAAATGCTGCATACAAACAGCAATTTTTCTAAGAAGACTAAAATTATTAAGAGCTATGCATGCTTTTCTATCTGGCAATGCAGATCCTCTGATCAAATCAATATTCTGTGCAGGTTCATTCTTTGAGTGAGGGACAGTGTGGGTTAAAGATAAAATCAGTCATTGTTTGTTTATGCCACATCTACAAAAGTTGCAGTGATGAAATTTGAGGTCCTTTGTGTGGATTAGAGTTCTGCGTGCCATAATTATTAGCATGGACTTTTATTCTGCTATAATATAACTCAGATTGTCTTCTTAGCACTTCATCTAAGGTGCTTAAAGAAGCTTAGTGCTTAAAAAAGTACTGACACCATCCCAAACATGCTGGTAAAAATTTAAGAAATTTAATGAATTGTTTAGGTCCTGTCTTGACTGACAGTCATTCTAATGACTGATGATGCTTGGTTTTGCTTGGTTTTTAATTAGGAATTTCCTTTCTCCTTTTTCCTTCTCTCCCTTCTTCCTCTCTTTTCCTACCTCCATACCTTACTTCTCCCCTCCCTCCTTTTCTCCTTTCCTTCTTTTTTGCCCATGAACATATGATACAATCATATTGAAAACCATTTTATCATTTTATTATACTGTTAACTGTATATTGCTGCAGTTTATTTTTTTCTTTAGCTACACCTTTCCTGTATGTCAGTGCACATGTAAGTTGAAATATTATTTTACTTAGTTTCGATATGTGGATACTAGTTAAGATTTTCAGTATTTCTCATTTATTCCCTTTTATTCTTATGCATACTGTAGTGCAGGTTTTAACAGATTTTTTTTTGACATTCAAAATTTGAAAGGTATTTAATTTTTAAAACCAACTTGTTAACTGAGTTTGCTTAATCGATTCTTTCTTAAATTTTCTTAACTTGTTCTTTTATTCCTCCATCCTCAGTCTTTTCACCCATTTTTGGAAAGATATTTAGAATGTCATTAGTGTTTCACTTTGGGGGAGCATTTATGTTTTCATTTCTTGCACCAAGACATTTGCAGGCCATATTTGAATTTGGCTTTTATTCCTCCATCCTCAGTCTTTTCACCGATTTTTGGAAAGATATTTAGAATGTCATTAGTGTTTCACTTTGGGGGAGCATTTATGTTTTCATTTCTTGCACCAAGACATTTGCAGGCCGGTAAATGGTTGGTAAAAAAAGTAGGCTGGTAAAAAAAGTAGGAATTTGTGTGGAAGTACAGTGATAAAGAATAATAATGCTAACATGGCTTATACTTTTTCAAAAAGAAGGAATTGAATCTGTGAAAGGGAAGTTCACCTGCCTAATAGCCCGTAAAATCATTCAACAATATAGTAAGCTATTGACATATTCATTGTTCACTAATGGGGATTAAATTCAGAAGATCATGATAAATGATAAACTAATTATAATGTTGTTTTCCTAAAGCAAAAGTAATCTCTTTGTATTACTCTTACGTGTAGTGTGAAAACAATGAAAAGAACATCGCTTATCCATTTGACTAATTATCTGAATTCAAAAGAGGTTCTGATAAGAAATAGGACTGGAGAGATCATATCATTTTACAAATTTTGAATTAAGTTTAGCTTCTGTACAGTTAAACACATTGAGACATTTTAAGGGTCAATTCTTCTGTATCTTAGAGTAAATAATGTTTAAAACTCTTGGTAGAAAGCAAGATCATTGGTTTTTAAATTTATTTTGGAATTTCAATTTGTTCTTCGGTTGTACAAATGTATTTGTGCTTTTGATTATTACGTTCTTTAAGATTTAATCATTCATCAGTTACTATGGTG